ATGAGTTCATTTAGAGACCAAGTCTCCTTTTGACAGTTATAACTCACCTTAAACTGGCTAAACTGTGTAGGAAGAGATATTAAAATCAAATGCACTAGTAACTCTTTAGAGAGTTTCAACTTAAGTGCATTTAATTTCGAAACAAGATGAGACATCTCCATGATGTGTACTCTCTGATATTGTCTTTACCACTATATTTCATTGAAACTAGGCCTGTCAAGAGCGTACTAATTTCAGTCTTTTCGTTCTTGACAAACCTTTTTTCAATGTCCTGAAGGAACTCTTTAACGGTTACAGTCGTTTCTGACATTGTACCCCTGAATGCTTCTGGAACGGCCTTTTTAATGATCATCAGACACAAGCGATTTGATCTCTCCCACATCTCATTATTTCTCTTTTCATCAGAGGTACTCTGATCTGTAAGAGGTGGGGGAGAATCAATCCTTAACGCAAGGTCAAGATTCATTACTCCAAGTACTATCAAGAGATTTTCTTTCCAAGATTTGAAGTTTATGCCAATCAACATAGGAATATTATTGATGTTGGAAGTGATATTTGCAAGATCATTCGCAACTGAACAGAAAACATAATATAATTAAAATATGCTCACATAAATCAAAATAATAATAAATTTAAATAAAGGTAATCCTATCTCAAGATATCGATATTCCATTAATATTTTGTCTTTGGACAAAAATACTAATTTCTAAGTGATATCTTGGTGCAGTAATAAATACTGATAATAATAACATGTCGAAAAATAAATTTTCCTTTGGGCCAATTTATAAATCACATGTAAAATCCAAATAATTATCACGTATTTATTACCACAAGTGCACATGTAATTTTATTAAATATGGACCTTCCTTTGGGCCGATCAATATTCATAAAATTACAAGTACTCAACTAGTTATATTCTAAAATAAATTAATTTTCATAATAGATGTCACTTTGGTGGCATATTATTTCAATTAATTTATTCCAAAAAATATATAATCATACCAATATTCAAATTTAAAATTATACAAATTAAACAAATTTTGATCAAAGTCAACTTTAGTTAACTCTGATCAAACCAATCAATTGGATCAAACTTATTGGATTAAAGGTCCACATCCATAATTTGACCTAATTTATTATTCAAGCCCAAAATTTTTTTTAAGTCCATAAATACTTTATAAAACTATATGGACTTTGTAGGGTTTAAATATCTTATTAGTTTTATTAGGGTTCACTTAAATTAAAGAAACCCTAATTTTGTCAACATAAATATATATGTATATCCTCTTATATACTAAAACAAGTCAAAAGGAAAATACAAATCACGGCACAATCAATGCAAGAAATTGTGTACCCGAAACTTAAACCATAGATCACCATGTTAATAATTTATTTGAGAAACTCTTGGCTATTTAAGAGCGCAGAAACAGTTACTGGATTGCATCATACTTCGACAGCTTAATCATTAACAGTGGAGGAAAAGACAAACCACTTCCCGAAGCCAGAAAACAAGAGGATTGCGGGTCCCACGTAAATCATCACTTGATTTACCAATTTGTGAACATTAGATTGAAAGCCGTGTGTGAAGACTTATGTAATCAAAAGCATTGAGTTATTTGACCGAAGACGAAAAGTCCATTGTTAAAAAAAAAAGAGACCAGAACCGAGTCAAAAAGGAAAAACTTTATGCAACAACAACTCCATTGTTAATTGCTTATGGGGCTCATCATCTATAATACATATTATGCTTTAAGGAATAAAAAAAGTACTCTTGCCGTTTGGTCTCTTAACCTTATGCTTTTACAATTTATGGAACCTGGAGCTTTGGTCAACCGAAAATAACATACAAACAATCGACTGGCAATCGAAAATTTAAACACATAACAATCATGTATTTAATCGCATCAGAGTCCGCAACCAGTAGTTATGAAAACATAATCAATAGTAATAAAACTATGAAATACTAACACAAGATTATTTCCTAATAATCAACCATAAGGGCTCTGATACCACTTGTTAGGGTGGTTGTCTAAATTTAACCATTGGTGAAAACCATCACCTTTAAACCCAAAATCTATATGGCGATTATTAAAAAATAAATTAACTATAAAATAGCGGAAACGTACCTGAATCCATATTGATAAATTTGACACTTGAATCCCTAGAGATTTTGGAGTGCCCTTCCAAGTCAACAGGTATTCACCGATCCTTTGAGAGAGGCCTTTAGTTTCCTCTCTGGTATCTTTCCTAACGATGGGATATCAGGGAAGAGCTATTTTGTGGTATTAGGAAATACGACAACTAAAACGATACCTGTGACCTGGGGACCATAACCCTATTTATAGGTAACATTCCTGTTACCTTTTGGAATCCTATTTCAACCCATCATAGAAATAGGAACCCTTAAGTCTCTACACATTAAAGGCCCACACCCTATTAGATACATTAAACCCAAACTATATTTGATCACTTTAATTGGGTTTAATCTTAATTGACAGTTTGCAACACATAATTATTCACATATAAATCCAATGTTGGATTAAGGATCTAATAGGGAGATCTGTCAGCAACATGCAAGAAATCAAGGGAAAGGAAGCAGAATTAAAAAAAAAATGGTGGAAGGAGGAGCCGGGGGGTGACGGTAGGAGCTGCTGGAGATGAAAAGAAAGGAGCAAAGAAAAGATAACAATTTTCCTTTTTCTTTTTTACTAAGAAAAGTCATTGTCATTATGGTGACTACCAAACACAAGATTTCATCAAAAGGAATCTTGACGAATTCATCATCATTGAGAACCAACAAGAGACCCCCTCTCTCTTGTAGGGGACCTTCTCTCTCTAAAAAGAGAGCTTTTCTTTCCATTGTGGAAGATCTGAAAAGTTACTGAGTAGCAATAAAGAATTAAAAGACTCAACCTTTTTCACTTTCAGACAAATCTCTCATCACTTCCACTTTGATGTAGAAGGTTCTGTGTCGGATTCCTATTTTAGCAAGTAGGAGGGAAGTGTCACTATTCTGAGGAGCAGTTTGTACTTGACACCCATAATACTACATCATGGGGTTCCATTAAAGCTGCTGCAAAGGGAGGTTCCAGATCTAAGGGAGAAGACGATGCAGCAATGGTGTGGGTTTTCACTGGCAGGTCAGCTCACGGACATTGTCTCTTCTTACCTTGTTTGGTAATGTAGGTGCATTAGAGGTAGGTTCATCTTGTTTTGGTCTGTCGTTGTCTTTTCTGTGTCTTACCTTGAGAATAACAGATTTGTTTAATCTCCCAGTTTGGGGTTATCGGGTTTCTGTTCAGTTTCGTGTGTGTGTCAGAATTTTACCATCTCTACCTCCTTTCAAGCCCAATGGCTGAGGAGATAGCGGATATTCTGAAAGGTTTCACCCTCTCCAGTAAAGAAATGCAGGTTACTGAGGTTGGAACAGAGGAGTTAACGCTAGGTATAAAGGAATGTCAAGGCAGCTTGCTAGGGAAGATTGTGGGAGAGAAGATAGCCAACTATACAGGAGTCAAGAACTTTGTTACTGCTGCATGGGGATACCCCAAAGATATGATTGTTGCGGAGTTAGGACCGAACCTGTTTCAATTCTTTTTGCCTAAGGAGGGTGATAGGGATAGAATAGTTAAGGGAGGTCCTTGGATTTTGGATAACCAGTTATTAGTGATGAATAAATGGTATGAGGGGATAGAAGATGATGTTAAAGCCTTTAATACTGCATCATTATGGGTGCAAGTCTGGAATCTTCCTGTCCATTGCATTTCTAAGGAAGTTGGTAAGAAGATAGGCTCTGTTTTTCATCTGGTTAGGGATGTCATTATACCCCAAACAGGAGGAAAAGAGGGTAGGCACCTCAAGTTAGCTGTTCAGGTCGACATAGATCAACCCCTGTTAAGAGGCACCTCTATTAAGGTGGCTGGTGTGACTAAATGGGTTCAATTTAAGTATGAGAGATGCCCGAATTTTTGCTATAGGTGTGGAAGAATAGGACATAGTGAGAGATCTTGCGGGATGGCAGGAGGGGTGATTGAAGGGAAAAAGGATAACGAATATGGGAGTTGGATGAGGGTGGGAAATGGGAACGCGAAAATGGGGCCACAGAAAAACCAAACAGGGGTTTTTGTTAATACTCCAAGTCAGCACTGGAGATACCAGCAGGGAGAATGGGTAGAGATCGAGAGGGGGGAGAGTCTTCCCAATATACAGGGGGTGGAGAGCAATAAAGGACTGGCAGAGGAGAGTAACAGGAATAGGGGACAGGAGTTGGTAGTAGGTCAGAGAGAGGCGTCGAGAGTTACACCCGCTCATACCTTACCATTCCCTAGCCAGATAGGAGGAGTGAGGGTAGAGGTCCCTATGTCCACTTCAGAAGGGGGGTTAACAAAGAATGAAGAAGAGCTGGCGGGGAAGGAAAAGGTTGGACAACCGCTCATGGAAGTGGATAGAGAACGAGATACTATTTTGAGGGAGCAGCAGATGCATTTCGAGGTGCAAGCTGACACTAAGGAGGCAAAAAATGAGCCTATGGTCATGCAAGTAGATGATGTGAGCATCACTAAGCAGCAAGAGGTTGTTAGGAAGCATATTAGAAGGGCTCAGAGACCTCTGAGAGCTCCTAGTAAACGTAAACATGCTTTAAAAGGGATCAGTATTAATCTGGGGAATCTGAAAAACCTTGGGAAGAGAAAAATTAATGAATTGGAAGTGGATTTGGATATTGATAAGGGTGAATACCTGCAAAAGAAAAAGAGTAAGCTCGACATAGTTGGAGGTTCAGAGGATTTAGGGGCAGAGGGTGAAGGGTCCTTCCCTATAAGGACCCCAGGGGGTAAATGAGGGTCCAGGTGTGGAATTGCCAAGGAGTGGGGAGCCCCTTGACAGTTCCCCAGTTGAGAGAGGTTAATAACCTCTTCTCTCCAAGTTTAGTGTTTTTAAGTGAGACCAAAAATAGGACTAGATATTTAGAAAAAGTGAAAAACATTTTAAGATTTGAAGAAATGGTGGTAGTTGAGGCTATGCATAAGGCAGGAGGTATGGCTCTTTTCTGGAAAGATGAGTTGAAAATTCTTGAGGTCCTTATGACTTCCTTTACCATTGAAGCTCACGTGGAGGATATGGAAGCTAATACTGATTGGTGGTTTATAGGAATTTACGCGAGCTGTGATCATCAGATTAGAAAAGAACAATGGAAAGTCTTAGCTAATCGGAAAAGATTGTGGGGAGATAGATGGATGATAGCTGGGGATTTTAATGATTTAGTCTCCAATGACGAAAAGTGGGGAGGGATTCGTAGAGAGGAGAAATCCTTTCATGACTTCAGAGATTTTATTAATGGAAATTATTTGCTGGATATTGGATTTATTGGTCATCCGTGGACTTGGTGCAACAATTGGGAGGAAGAGGGAGAAGTCAAACAAAGGTTGGATAGAGGTCTTTGCACCTACCCCTGGTTTCAGGTGTTTGATAAGGTCAATTGCAGGCATATTGATTCTTATGCCTCGGATCATAGCATCCTGATGTTCGACACAATGATGAGCTCGAGCAGAAGGAAACACAGGTTCTTTTTCGATAAAAGATGGTTAAAACGAGAGGACATTGGGGAGGTAATCAGGATTGCTTGGGAACAGCAGGTGGAGGGGTCAAGGATGTATCAAGTGGCTACAAAGATTAAGAACTGCCGTGTAGCTCTCCTAAAATGGAAGAACAACTTCCAAGCTAACTCTAGGGACAAGATTGAGCTTATTAAAAAGCAGCTATGCGACTTGAAAGAAGTTAGAGGGAACTCTAGAAATATTAGTATGGCTGCCCTTAAGAAAGAGTTAAGTAAGGCTTACAAGGAAGAAGAGAAGCACTGGCAACAGAAATCAAGGATACAATGGCTCAAGGAAGGAGACAAAAATACAAAGTTTTTTCATGCATCTGTACAGGGAAGGAGAAGGAGAAACAGCTTGCATAAACTCCAGAGAGAGGATGGAACGTGGACAGAGAGTGAGGAGGAGTTGAGTACTGAAATAGCAGGTTACTATAGGATTTTGCTGGACAGTAATGAGGGAGGGGACTTAAATGAGGTTTTGCATGGTATTCCCCATACCATCACTGATGAATTGAATAGAAACCTGTTAAAACCAGTGTTGGAAGAAGAAATAAAATCTGTAATTTTCTCTATGAATCCAGAAAAAGCCCCTGGGATTGATGGTATGTCGCCACTTTTTTTCCAAAAATTCTGAACAACCATCAAACAACAAGTGATAAAGGCTATTCAGACGTTTTTTCATACTGGCCACCTCCTAAAGAGTGTTAATCATACTATCATCACTCTAATTCCCAAAGTGCAGATTCCTACATCTCTAAAGCAATTCAGACCCATAAGTCTTTGCACTACCTTATATAAGGTGATAGCTAAAATCTTAGCAAATAGGCTCAAAAGTGTCTTGCATTGTTGCATTTGTAAAAATCAATCTGCCTTCATTCCTGGTAGGCAGATTCTTGATAATATTATGGTCTCTCATGAGTACATGCATTATTTAAAAAACAAGAAACAAGGTAAGGATGGGTTTATGGCAGTGAAGCTTGACATGTCCAAGGCGTACGATCGAGTTGAATGGAGTTTCTTGGAGGCAATAATGGAAAAAATGGGCTTCGACTGTAAATGGAGGAACTGGGTTATGGAGTGTGTGAAGTCTGTGTCGTACTCGTTTAATATAAACGGGGAGGTTAAAGAGTTTGTAATTCCAAAAAGAGGAATTAGACAAGGGGACCCTCTATCCCCTTATCTATTCCTTCTGTGCTCTGAGGGACTATCCAACCTTATCAGGAAGGCGGCAGATTCTAAGAAGCTCGCAGGGATGCAAATTAGTAGACAGGGACCTAGTATAACACACCTTCTCTTTGCGGATGACTCTGTGATCTTTTGCAAAGCTAATCTGGATCAGGCAAATGAGTTAAGGAGGGTGCTGAAAGTGTATGGCATGGGGTTAGGTCAGGAGATAAATTTGGAAAAGTCTTCCATACTCTTCAGTAAGAATGTCAGGCCACAATTGATGGACGAGATCTGTCAAACCATGGGGAATATGCAAAGAGTTAGTCAGGGCAAGTATCTTGGACTACCAATGGTAGTTTCAGGATCAAAACAACAGCTTTTTGGATTTATTAAGACTTCCATACACCAGCGAATGCTAAAGTGGAAAAACAGGTTATTAAGTGCAGCTGGTAAGGAAACAATGCTTAAATCTGTGGCTTTAGCTATGCCAACGTACACCATGTCCTGTTTCCAGCTGCCATCCAAATTGTGTAAGGAAATTAGTTCCTTAATGGCAAATTACTGGTGGGGGGAGGCAAATGGTAAGAATAAAATACATTGGTGTGCATGGAAAAAGCTTACTCGAAACAAGTACATGGGAGGTTTAGGCTTCAAAGATCTGATGGCTTACAATACAGCTCTCCTTGGCAAGCAGGTGTGGAGGATGCTAACACAACCTAATTTGCTGGTTAGTCAAGTCATGAAGGCAAAATATTTTCCACGATCATCTATATTCAAGTGCAAAGTTCCCAACAATGCTTCTTGGATTTGGAGGAGTCTTATGGGGGCCCGGGAGTTGGTGGAACAAGGAACCAGACGCAAGATAGGAAATGGGAGGAAAACTAATATCTGGGAAGATAGGTGGATTCCGGATACACTTGATGGAAGAGTGACAACCCCGAGAAATTCTGATAATGCACTTCAGCAAGTACATGAGCTAATTTGCCAGAAAAGATGGAATAGAAATCTAGTCTTCAAACACTTTAATAAAAAAGATGCAGAAACTATCTTGACAATCCCTGTTAGTTTAGCAGGAAAGGAGGATGCAAACTTTTGGATAAAAGGGGCTGGTGGCCATTATTCAGTCAGCTCAGGGTACAAGCTACTGGTTATGAACAAAGATATCAGGCAGCAAAGGAACCAGCTGGAGGGTTCTACAACTCTGGAAAATCAATCCCAAAGGTTATGGAAGGACTTATGGAAACTGAAGGTGAAGCAGAAACAGAAGGTTTTCTTATGGAAATGCCTCAACAATGCACTGCCTGTGCGAGACATCATATTTCGTAGAATTAAAGTAGGTGATCCCATCTGCAACAGGTGTGGAGAAGACAGGGAAACTATTGAACATACCCTTTTGAATTGCAGCAAAGTTAAACAGACATGGAAGCTGGCCCCCATTCAATGGGAAGGTATGATGGAACACCAAGGCTGTTTCAGAAGATGGTGGATCGAAATTTTAGATGCAAGAACCAGAGCTGAAGGATGGCAACATATTGCTCTATCAGTCCATATTCTCTGGCAGATATGGAAAGACAGAAATGAGGAGGAGTTCAATGGTAAGGAAAGTCATCCATGGAAGACAATCCAGAAGGCGCACCAGGAATGGTTAGAACTTGGGGAAATAGATAGGAAGGGAACTAGTATGAGCACAGATGAAACAGAAGCTCTACATCAACAGAATCAGCAGCGAAATCCTGAACATGGGTGCTTGATATTGAGGATAGGAATAACTAGAGATATGACAAAGTCTTGCTTCGGTATTGGGATTACTTTGCAGGAAGGAAATCAAGGTGCAAAAAGAGGTTGGACACTACGAGAAAGCAGTTCAGGTTCAGGACTGCTAGACGAAGCAACTGCACTGAAGCTAGCAATGTGTAAAGCTGCGACTTTGCAATTCAGGGATGTGCAATTTCAAGTGCCAAACCGACAGCTCCTCAATCAGGTTCGAACAGCAGGTGTAAGCGATATCAGATTGGCTACTGTTGTGGACGATATTTTACAACTCAGAGATTTGTTTCATAAGTGCTCCTTTTGCCTAGTTCATAATGATAACAATCAACTAAGCACTAAGCTTAGTAAATATGCCTTGGGCATTATTCTAGATGAGGAACATTGGTTTCCTTAGTGGCAAGTAAAGCCGCTTGTAAAGTTCATTCGAGCCTTTGCTCGTACTTGTAAATCTTTTGTCAAGTAATACAACCAATTATCGTTTCGAGAAAAAAAAAAAAAAAGAATTCATCATCATTGAGGGGTCTTCTATAGTGACTGCCATTGCCATTACTTAATAGCAACCAAACGGGTAGTAAGTGCGATGGAAGTAACAAACTAACGCGCGTTGTGCACATACTCTCATACTTGATAAAATTCTGTAAAGAGACGTTTCATTTTTGTAATTTCTGCTGCATGTGAAGTACAATGAATATACCTATAGGACGAAGGGCATGTTAGCCCAACTATGAAAATTAGGAAATTATTTTTGTAACATTTAAAATTACCAAGATTTATGATTTTTTTTTTAGAGAGAGTACAGATCAATTGTTTAATACGAGTAATATACTCAACTAATCATGCAACCCTAGCTTTGTTATTTTTCAATTGTCCCTAAATGCTTTAGGTGCATCAACCCTAAATTTTTATAGTTGACGTTGTTTTATAAAATCAAAGGTAACAGACAGTAACAACTGCATTCAGACGCTAGACAGTAATAATTAGACCTTTTCATATTAAATACACACATTCCTAGTATCTTAGGTTAGATACACAAAACCACAAAACTGACCATTCTGTGTACATGATAAGCACTAGAAAACCACCATCACAACAGGATGTTTACATACAGAGAGAATCTTATACATTGGAATAAAGCAGAAAAAACAAGAACAAAGAAAAAAGAGGAAAAAACAGCATAAAAACTGTCCTTAGACATCAAATCGATTGACACAAATTAAACAATAATAGAACTAATCTCAGCCAGGGGTGGAAAAAGGATATGGACATGGGGGCACCATAACTTCCACAATTCCTTCAAGCATCCAGCTCACCTTCCTCATTGTAGGCCTAAGAGATGAGTTTTCTTGAATACACCAAATACCAACCATCACAAATCTCTCTAGCATCATCTTATCGTTTAGAGCTTCTAAATCATTTTCTACAAAAGCATCCAATCTTCCTTCTTGGAAGCAGTCCCAAGCCAAATCAGTCAAAATTAAAAATTCTCCATGACCAATTTCAGTATTCTCCATGCTTCTTCGGCAAGAAATGATCTCTAGTAACAAGACACCAAAACTATAAACATCAACCTTAGCATTAACTTGAGTGCTCCTGAACCATTCAGGAGCTACGTAGCCTTTCGTTCCTCGGATATTTCCAGTGATAGTTCGACTCTGATTAATCATCAAGAGTTTTGCCAATCCAAAGTCAGAAATGCGAGCATTGAAGTACTCATCAAGGAGTATATTTTGGGGCTTTATATCACAATGGATAATCTGAGTACTACATTCTTCATGAAGGTATACCAGCCCCCTTGCAATCCCAATAGCAATCTGAGTCCTTGTACTCCAACTAGTTTTGGGATTATTTAACAGCAGTCTTGCGAGAGTGCCATGGCTCATATATTCATACACCAATAGACGATGTTGTCCTTCATCACAGAATCCAAGCAGGCGGACCAAATTCTTGTGGTTAGTCTGGCCTATTGTTTCCACTTCAGCACGAAATTCCTTGTCAGCATCTTGATCCATTCTGTATAACTTTTTCACCGCAACAGTAGTGTTTCTGGATCTGATTTGCAAGGAACCTTTATAAACAGTACCAAAAGATCCCCTGCCCAACTCTTCATTGAATTCATTTGTAGCTTCTGCAAGCTCTTTGTACGCAAAATAACGCAAATTTGTGTTCGGTGCATCAGTATTTGGATGAGTTATTACCTTCTTTTTGTGGTATATGAAGTAAAAGCCCAAACAAGCAGTGGCAATGAACACCAAAAAAGAGCTTCCGAGAAGCACAGACCCCACAATTATCACAGTTCCTCGGTTTTTTGGCTTTGATCCTGCCGGAACTGGAGGAAAAGTTTGAGGTACAGGAGGAGCATCACTTTTGCGATATTTGATGAAAGCCTTTGCCTGAAGGCTAGTGTCCATCCTCCCATTAGAAAGTGGCAGCTTCTTCTTCCAGCAACTGTTGTTTCTGAAAATGGCCACAGCACAGAAACAGTCCTGCAAACAAGCTTGCCCACAAATAGTTTCATTTGAAGGATTTATTTGCTCGAAGTCAGACAGTGGCCAATCTATATCACTGGCCACCACAAAATTATAAAGGCTTTCTGCGGAGCCCTCCTCTACTTCATCGCAGACAAGAGAAGAGTTTGGCTTGCAGCTGCCGTTCTTGTCATTTGGATCAAGCAATATATACCCTTCTGGACACGCACAAACCGGTCTTCCAAGTTCGAGGTGGCAAACGCTGTTAAATCCACAAGCTCCGCTCCCTTTTTCTCCAGTAATGCTGGTACATATATTATCTGGCATAGACCAAAAAATTGTCCAGTTTGGGCTGCCAGAAGAAGTCCTAGGATGATAATAATGTGTGAAGACCCCATCAAAATCTATTGTTGCCCTATGATAGTTTTCTGATACTGATGGTAATGGTATTGAAACTGGATTGAGCTGTTTTGTTTGATCGTTCCCTTTCCTTATGTACATGGCCCCTCTGCCATCAAAAGTAACTTGGTAACCAGAATTCTGTTCACCTGTAGAATCAGAAGTCTGACTATTGTAGTAGGTAGCTTCATCATCCACATTTGTTGGCACACTTCTGGTAGCAAGCACTAGATTCCCGTCATCAAGAAAACGGAGATAAAATCTTCCTTGGGAGAAGTTTGTTGCTGACTGTCGAGAACAAAGAGAATCGCCAATTACCAAGTCTTGATAGGGCAAAATTGTATCAGCAGGATGTCTAAAGCTTTCCCAGAGCGGGCTACCATCACTCCCCTGGAGGATAAAATTGCCTGTATCATTCATTAAACCACGAACCAGTTGATTAGAACCAACATTAGCACTCCAAAGTTGTATGCCTCGAGGGTCACGGAGTACAAGCCCTGTCTGAGCATCAAGCTTTACAGTCGATCCTCGCAGCACTGGATTTGTTGAATTAACAAACCAAACTACAGTTTTGTCTGGAATTTTGTGATACCATATGGAAAACAAGAAAAGATCCTTATCCTGAACTTGCTGGAATCCAAATGCAAAATCCTCAGTAGGTGAAAGCCAAGGACTAGCAGAATTTTGCCCTGCAGTCAAAGTACTGCCCACAGGGACAATACCATTTTTCTGAGCCAAAGCAGAAATTGGGAAGAGAAATAGGAAGAAGAAGATGAGCTGTATGCATTGGCATGCCATTGCAATAGATAGTTAGTCGTGCTATGGATAACATGCACTACATGTTATGATATATAAATGGAACAATAGGTCGGAAGACTTTAGAGTCAACTCTTATCTAGTACTAGTGTCTGCTTCTCTGCCTCTCTGCCTCAATTTCTATCACTGATTACCCCTTTTGGACCACATCCACATACATAGCTCGAATCTGGTGACTATCTCTAGTGAGTGGTCTTGCCCTTAGGTCCAGTTAAAAAGTTACAAGGACCACCAATGCGGGTTCCTACCCAAAATTTGAAAAGTGATAGAATTATTTTGTAATTTAGGTTACAACTGATTAATCTTTTGTCTTCTGAAAAATGGACTAAATGAAGATTGATAAAGCCGCGGCAATATAATCTAGGAAGAATTTGAGATATAGGGAGATTTTAAGATATGGGAACGAGAAGTTTTCAACTTCATAAGTAGGGGCAGTTTTTGGATAATTTGGTTTTAAGATGTTTGGCACTGTTCAAGATTATCCCATTTCTCACTTTATCCCCTAACCTTTTTTGTCACTTAATCACCTATAGGATAAAATTATCCTTCCATTATTTTGACTTTTCATTTATCTTTTTTCCTTTCCCCTTTTCCTCTCTTTTATTTCTTTTCCTCTTTCTTTATTCTTCGCTCTTCCATCCTTCCCAAAAGAAATCTTTATCTCAACTAAAAACTTCATCTAGAGTTTATAATTGCATTTCCAAGTGAATCTTTAAAAGGCATCAAAAGCTAATTTCGATCTTTGATACGATGCCATGTGCCGCAAATTGCAATTAATGATTATTAATCAGGTCACAAATTCATCTTGTGATATTTTTTTGAGAATAAAATGAGAAACTAGTATGGAATGGAGAAAAGGCAAAAGAATTGAAAGGTTAAAAAATGGTATTTTGAGGATGTGGTTTGAATATTTTGTAATCATTTGAGGAGAAGATAGATCTATGCAATTCTTTATTTTTGGCTTCAATCATTAAGATGGAGTTTTTAGTGGGAAAGAGGAAGAAATAAAGAAAGAAGAAAGAGACAAAGAAAATAAAAGAGGAAAGAAAAAAAACAAAAAGAGAAAAAAAAAAGTTTAGAATAATAGAGGGGCAATTTTGTCCAATAGAGGATAAAGTGAGACAAAAAAAAAAGTTTGAGGTAATGTATGAGATGGGGTATATTTTAAGGAAAATAATTGTGACTAACCCTAAAAGAAATTAGATTTTATGAAATGACTTAACTACCCTTGATTCATCAACTGCTAAGCCCCTTGCAGAAGGCATAAAGAGCTTGCCACTAGACCACGTTGGTCCTTTGGTTTTCCAAATTGACTACCAATTATTTAACTACTCGTACGCATCATTTTAATCTTTACTTTCCCCTTCAAACTCTTTTCCAATAGGACCAAAAAATAATATGTCAAGTATGGATAAGTACATTATACAACTTGCTAAATTGTTAAGCAATTTTCAATTAAAAAATACATGCAAATAAGTAATTCTTTTTTACCCAGTTATTTGAGGATCTAAGGTATAACTTTTTCTAAATATGTTTTAGCCAAATAAATATGTTTCAGCATCACAATTTTTTATTTATACTTTTGCATAAGAGAAAATTATGAAGAAAAGAAAAGACATAAGAAGCCAACGCTCGTTATTGTTTAAAAATATGAACGGAAAGGGTGAACCAAATGGGAATGGGACACAAAGAAAAAATGAAAATGAAAAAAGTGAAAAAGGAAAAAAGAGTTGTACTATCAAGGTTGAGGGGGAGAGGGGGGCAAAGTGC